GCACGCTTTTGTTGGCGCGCTTTAGGGCTAATTAGTCGCTCATTCGCCGCACGGTTTTGTCACCGCGCTTTAGACACCGCGGTTTAGTCAGGCGCGTTTTTGTTGTGCGCGCATTTGTGGTGGAACCAAAAAGTCATGATACGTCACGTGACGATGCAAGTTTGACACTCCTGCTAGAGCATGTTTCATTTTTCAGCTAAAAACATAGCTATATACATCAGAATTTGGGAATGGTTTATTATTTAAAATTCCCTGAATGGAAGCAATCGATACGGCCAAGTTCCAGTGCACAGAAAACTTACTTTTAAAATTATCTTGGGTGCTGTAGCTGATTTGTATCAGCATTGGATGTTTTAGAAAATGAGCCGACAACCCAAAGCAGTAAATGCACCTTAATCCTTACTCATCATTTCCAGCATATTGAACCTCTTTAATTAGGGGATATGTCTTTTACATGTTAAATATCTCTTCCATAGGGCAAAGAATCCCAAAGTGTCCACTTACCGCACTGCAATTGTCAACATCGCTCTTAAATAGCTCAGCAGATTCAGTGTTGTTGAATAACCCACAGCAATTTAAGCTGTTTTCCAATGATATCCTGGTGTTGTCATTCAGTAATTTCCAGGTACCATTCAAAAGACTTTCCTGGAAGAAGAGAGAAGAGAGAGAGAGAGAGACTTTAAAAGCCAGTGTTATGAAATGGAATTTTCAGTGACATGACATAAGGGCTTAATTTTTGTCCATATAGCCAAGAGAGTTGCATTTTTAATCTTCTACAGGTAGTCTTCGACTTATGACCAATTCCTTAGCAACTGAATTTACAGCAGACTTCCCCAGGATTATTTATGATCTGAATTCAAAGTCAAAAAAAGGATGTAAAAATCAAGCATTCACTTGGTGACCTACTTAACAACTGGCATGACCTTCGACCATAATTATGGGCTCAATTATGGTCGTAAGTCGAGGACCACCTGTGTGACTTAGCTACCTTGAGGGAAACGTCTGTGAAACAGCAGCTCAGGCATGTTCTCCAACCCGTCTCCCTCCTGATGCATTGCATAACTCCAGAATTCCCAAATAGTACAGCAAAAGAAATTCTGGGAATTGTCTAATGCAACTGAAGAATTGGGAGTTACGCAAAATATAAACTTAATTAAATGACAGAAGTGAAATTAAATGAAAAGGAAGTAAATGCACCCACCAACTGCATTTGTTCCACATGCAGAAGTTTACAGTGTTGTGGGAACTCAGTCATTATCTTAACATGTTGCACAAACCAACAGAACTTTGCTTAATGTGATATGTTTGGCCACAGCACATTCCATGAATAGAACTATATTAAGTTAATCACTACACCACAACCCAGGTACTGTATTGGATTCCGAGTACTATGTAAATGCAGCCAACATGCAACAACTCGTATCAGGAAAGGAAGAAACAGGTTTAACCTACCGATCTTTTTAGAAACTTGAACCTTTGCTGGAAACTCAGTGGTGAGTGTGTGTGCATATATATTTATATTTATATATTTAAGTAAAGATAAAGGTTCCCCTCGCACGTATGTGCTAGTCGTTCCTGACTCTAGGGGNGCTAAGGAATTCTGGGGAGTGTAAATCAACATATCTCAAAGTTGCCAAAATTGAAAAACACCAGGTTAACAGTTCTGCACTAAATTTAAATGTAGTTGAGACAACCTTGAATGTGAAGGACCTGATAGATTCAAAAGAAATCTGTAATAGCCAACTGTGCTTGAATATAGTTGATAAAATGAATTTCTAGAGGCATTTGTGATGGGAGTGGTCTGCAAACCCAGTAAAATGAATATAAATAAATAAAATTTAAGAGGAGTAAAACCACCTTAGGCAAATGCAAAGTTGTAGATTCAAAATACAGCAAGGACACAAAGAAGGTGAGCTAGACTATCCTTGTAGAGTTTACACCCCTATTGGAGGTAGAGTAAGGAGAAGGGGAACCTCTCAGGCTTTTCACAATTCTACCCCAGGTACAAGACATGTATCATATGAGTGAAGAACAAGGGTTACATGGTTAAGACACCAGGCTAGAGACCAGAAAACTCTGAGTTCTAGTCCAATTTTAGGCATGACGCCAATTAGGTGGCTTTGGGCCAGTTCCTCTCTCTCAGCCCTGAGAATGAGATAACATCAAGCCTCAAAACCTTACTGAGAAATCTGCATGACTTGTCCTGGAAAGGAATCAAGACTGATCAAAGGCACAAAACAAAGCAACAAACAAAAAATACAGCTCAAATACAATTTTAGTTACTCCCCAGAGATTTAATCTCTCCTTAGAATAAAAATCCATTTCAGCACAACTTTCAAAGACTTTTGGGGTGCTGCAGATAAGCATAACCTCAGGTTGCACATTCCTAATTCAGAAGTATGATTTTTCTGGTCTCAAAATCAAAGCGCTGTTGAGATCAAGAAGCTCCTCATTATACTAGTCATGTGAAAACAAAGTTGAGATACATTTTGGTAGAACTAACACTCTGCTCTGCTACACTTTACTCTGCCCTATTCTACTCTACTCTGCCCTACTCTACTCTGCCCTACTCTACTCTTTATACTCTACTTTTATAAAAACTATACATTTTAAGCAAGTATACAAGCATTTGAGGATGCTTAACTTTCTCAAGATTGGGGCCAGAAAGAACTAACTTTTGTGAACTAACTGGTGTCATTAATTGATCCCTTGAGTATTTCTTATGATTTTCANATGGCTGAAAGGATTGTGAGTCTACTCTAACGTTCTAATGTTCTGAAAAAAACAATCATGAACAGAATGAAACAGATTCAAAGGATATGAATCTTGCTGAGTGAATTACTGCATTCTGCCTTAGGACCTGGGGTTTGGCTAAATCCAGTGAACGAGTTACCAAGTTTCCATTTTTATATTTGCAAAAAAGTGGCCTTTAAGTATGGTCACCGATATCACACCCCCTATTCTTCTTGCTATATTTTATGCTACTGTAAGCTTATTGAAAAAAGTGAATGAGGTGACTGAAGTGATAATATCCCCAAAGTCTGCAGTTAATGAGGCATGATCTCTTACTTACTTGAGTTAAATTAATCCATTTGAAACATTAAATTTAATACTTTCTTCTATGCAGTTGCATAGATTTTTGGTGTCACTCATATTCAATTTATGGTGGGGAACGGGACCTCTTTTTGATTTAATCTAAATGCTTCAGGGTTTGCCAACTGCCCATAACCCCTGGTAGTCTGAAGTAGCTTGCTTTGTTAATTCTTCTGAAATTAGTTAAATTTTTATGGCACAGGTTTAGCAGCAAAATAACAACAGCCCCCAGAACCATATAACCCTAAGGTAGAAATGGAGAGAAGGAAGGAAGGAAGGAAGGAAGGAAGGAAGGAAGGAAGGAAGGAAGGAAGGAAGGAAGGAAGGAAATTTATTTACAAAGCAAGTTAAAAACTATAACATAACAACAAAGGCATGAAATAGCAAACTTTTCTCCAAAGAATACACAAAAGAAAAGAGTATTAGTGTATTATGGAGTCTATAAAATCTGACAGCTCAGATTCTCCTGAAAATGCAAGATGTTTTTCAGCCTTTTTGATGGATGGCAAGCTCCACATGGGTCTTTGAAGGAATGCTATATTAGTGAAGCAATGACCCTGTTTGATGTTTCAAGCAAATTTCAACCTCCCACAAAATTACATCTCGAACTACTAAAAATAAGTCTGCAGGAGAAGGAGTGGCAGAACTTGGGCCAGAGTTAAAGAAGGGCTCAGCTGAGAATCCCTATGTTGCCACAAGCGAACTAACTCCACCCCCACACCGCTTGAAATCCATTTATCTTTATCTAATTGTAAGCGGGTGCTGGGCATTAGTTGAGAAGATTCCTATACATCAGTAATAAATCTGTTTAATTGGACCTTCACATGTGGATCTGATCTTTCATGCATGACAAAATGTACTGATTAGGAAGAAAAAGATAAGAGAAAAGTGGATGATTAAAAAAGAGTAATTCTACTTTTCTTTCTTCGTTGCTTTTTCTTTTTTTCTTTTACTATGATCTCTGTATGCAACTCTAAATAAATGATCCCAGAAGAGGTAGTTCTCAATAAAAAGAGTTTTAAGGTAAAGGTAAAGGTTTTCCTTGCACATATATGCTAGTCGTTCCCAACTCTGGGGGGCGGTTCTCATCTCTGTTTCAAAGTCAAAGAGCCAGTGCTGTCCGAAGACGTCTCCGTGGTTGTGTGGCCGGCATGACTAAATGCCGAAAGGGCACAGAACGCTGTTACTTTCCCACCAAAGGTGGTTCCAATCTT